AACCCTTACTGCTACATTTAAATTTTGAATCACGGTCACTCGATACGCTATTGACTTACGACACAAATAGCAAGAGAACCTATTGCCACTTTAGGTTGCAAAATTTTATTCTCAAATTACTAGAAACAATAATAAAAATAATTTTAAAGTAAAGTTCGGTATTTAGTTTTGTCGGACAAATTTTACGAAACGCCGATTCAAAACATGGTAGTGGAAAGATAACTTAAATCCATCAATATCTGTAGGGCAGAACATTCTTTTTAATTACGGTCCTTTATGGTCTGGTAGAATGTAACGAGCAAAGGGTACTGATGCTAAATTATTATGCAGAATACCTCTTTGAGTCGTGTTTATATCGCTGGGTTAGTTTCACTTTCTAAAGAGTAATCTTGTTACAAGCAAAACGAGGCAATTAGCTAAAAACGAAGCCTGCCCATGACCCTGTAAAATCTCTAGAAATAATAAATGAGCTGCAGTAGCTTCGGCAAAAAAGAGCGACAGCTGTTTGTGTATCAGAATACTGTTTTCAGCACTATATTTATAAACTACACATAATCTTATACTTTCACCTTATTTTCGAATCTCTTACACTTACAAAGTTTTATCTATTCATACCCTATTTACGCTTGTTTCCTTTAATCTGTAGTGACATTGGATCCCAACCACACGACCTAAAAACACGAGCATATTGTAGCGACCGAACGACCAATATTCGGTTGGAACAACGGACTGACGAGTCCAAAATTTATTCGATTAGACCAGATCACGTTCCTCTGTATAGCTCACAACGCGTTTTCGACATACTCGTATTATATTATATCAAAACACAAACTATGTGCTCAATATAGACGGTTCTAATTTAGAAAACAGAACAAATTACATCGAAAATAGAAAATATCTCAAACGGTACAGCCTGTGCTATACAGTCAGAAGTTTCTCTAACGCAAAGTAGCGCGCTAAACAATGAAAGAGACAGTTAATACTAAAGAGTTTGATACCTGAGAATCAATACAAATATTCCCAACAAGATGGGATCAAATATTTATCTACAGGGATTCCAGCAATCCTCGCAAGCAGACAGTCCGAAGGTTAATGGTCACACACTGAGCCACGCCGCGACGTTGAGCTTAGTCAAACACGACCTTGCTGTCAGTGGTCCGGCAACATACAGAAGAAAATTAGGTGACAAAAGTTAGTACTGAGAAAAATAAAATTTCTGTGTCTAGAAAGCTCACCTGGATACGACAGAAAGTGATCTTTAATCCTGAAAACGTGAGCGGAAGTCATCAATACACTGCTACCCGACCTAGTTAAGAACTCTCTAGAGTCTCACAAACTTCAAACAGAATGGAAACAGACTTCTCACACCACTCTTCAAAGGCTAAGACAGAAAACACAAAGGCTGTTACAGACCATTAGCGTTACTCCCAATAACATCAAATACAATGGAAGGACTGATCAGCGAACAAATTCAGGAATACATAGGTAAAAATCAGATCCCACAAGAAGCACAACATGGGTTTATATAAGGGAGTTCCTGTGTGCCTTATCTTCCTATAGTATATGACAGCTGGACGATCTAGAGTGACCATAAGATACTGCTCCATATAATGTTCCTCGATTTTGCAAAGGCCTTTCACATAGTACCGCATATAAATACCAAGGCGAAGGTTACAAGGACGGGTTTCACTGACCCACCTATATTCTGGCTCCAATACTGCCTAAAAAACAGGTTATCTCGTACCAAGGTAAAGAGAACGCACACCAGTTGAAAAGTCTAAAAGTCAGGAGTTTCACAAGAAACGGTCTCTGGTCCAGTCTGAACGGCTGTACTGATCTATATAGACAACATAAAGATCCGTAGGGCTATAAAAACCAAAATGGTTTCACTGGAGCTTCGAAAAGACCGTACAACAATAAGTGAGTAGAGTGTAGACAATCGGTTAAAATGTAACTCCTCACAATGTCGTTTCATGAACATTCTGACTCATTCGACAAAAAGCACTTACACCAAGTTTAGAAATGGGTGACTAAGTGGATGTTAGGTCTAAAAAATTAATCTTACGAGGAGAGACTGCAACACTTGGTATTGTCCTCACTAATCTGCAGGAGAATAGAAGGTACGCTCTCACTTTTCTCACTAAGAGTTATCATCAATAAACCTCCTGTCTGGTAAGGTGATAATCGCTGGTATACAGGAACCGTACTTTCCTGACACAAACATACCTGTTGTCCAGACATATGATGACTTAGGAGTCATCGTTAGCCAAGACCTAAAGACTACTGCACACTGCCGTGCAATAGCCGCCAAAGGTTTTAGAACCTTATGGTCAATACGTAGGGCTTTTAGTCATGTCGATGCTAAGACATTATTGACTTTATATACAGTGTACGTACGTCCTAAACTTGAGTACTGCATACAAGCGGCTAGCCCCGGCTTAAAAAAAGACAATGAGCTTCTGGAAAAGGTTCATAGAACGGCAACTAAGCTTATTCCCGAAATAGCGAAGCTTCCGTATGAAGCTCGACTGGCCAAACTGAACCTTTTCCCGTTGTCATATCGCAGAACTAGAGGCGACTTGATTACAGTTTTCAAATTGCTTAGTGCCGAATTCGCACCTGATATGCCCTCATATTTCTTGTCTTCCAAATCAGAGAATTTACGAAGACACTCCAAAGAAGTCCACAAGCCCAGAACAAATAACTTGTCAGCTGACTATCGAGTTTCCCATCGAATCATCAACGAGTGGAATTCATTACCTCAGCACGAGTTTAAGGCTCCATCCATCGGCTCTTCCAAAATAAAGTTAGATCAACTGAGAGACAACCATTGCCAGGACTAACACAAGCCATCAAGCCTCCTGTCCTTTACAAACTGAAACTGAAACACCACATCACATACGAATCCACAAATAGCTACATAAATGACTAGATTTAGTGTGATCAAGTGGTTAGTCTAAGACGCATTGGACATTACCAAATACATGGAAGCATACTGAAAAACAAGAAGCATGAGCAGAGAAATCAATTGATTCATACAAGCTCGTGTAGCGTGGCGTCGAAGTGAGATTAACTATGAACACCGCTACCAAGAAACACGTGCCAAGTAAATCAGAAGGCGAAGGTTGGACGTAACCAAATAGATCCATAAAATCCCCGAGAAGCCAAATATCAGAAGGCAATTAATGGACCAAGTCGAGATATATTTGCTGGCGATCTCGTGGTGTCGAAAGGATACCGAGATCGTGCCAGGATACAAGCTTGGTTACAGAACGTAACCGAATTCGCGCGAAGTCACAATCAAAGTGTAAGTATGAGAATGGAAGCACAAAATAGCTGTCATTAGCACAGTCAAACAAAAGCACATTAAAACAAACAATGGTACAGTTGGTTATAATAATAATTGCTTATATTAAACCAGTCGTGTTCTCGTGACGAATGTGAGTCACAACACTCGTAACAAAATATTGGATGTCGGGGATGTCAACCTTGGAATACGCGGATTTATGAAAACTACGGGTTATAATATCGCTAATATTTTCGATGCAAAATTCCCAGGAAAGCTTGATGACACTCTAATAAATAGGCTGTGCTTGTCAGTAGTATGTCAGCATGAATTTCACACTGAGTTTTGGTCTACATTGCCGATCAGTGAATGGCATCTTATATCGAAACACGCTTCTCGATGGGACATTGATTGTGATTACACTACTGAATTGCATATCATTCTGAAAGCTGCCGTATCTCTTTCTTTTCGCTATGGTTTTATTTTCGGAAATGAGGATTTTGGCCCCCATCAGATCGTATTGTATGCTCTCAATGTATCCAACAAAAATGTTGATATTACACTCACTGAAGCCTTGGCTAATTGTTTAAAAAGTCTTCGTTCTCTCACAGACATTAGTTCTGTATCTTGGATAAAGTCACCAAGGGTCTTAACACTTCTTCAAGGTCTCTCTAGGGAAACAAATGTTCATGTTTTCAAAAATACCGTTATCATATGTGCATTTATTTTTCTTCATCTTCTTGTAGATGGCAAGCTTGATGCTAGCCAAGAGCCTTTCAATGAATGTTTTCAGCTGTCAGCTTTTGGTACTGAAGTATTGTTCCTAATTGCCGAATTGATTAAGAAGTTTAATGTAGGATTTGATACTTTGCAAATACCGGATACATTTCAATTTAGCGTGACTACTTTTGATTCATTTCCCTCAGAACTACAAGCTAAGTTGCTCTTTTTGGTTTTCACTCGTATTGTGAGCTCACCATCAACCAACAGTGATTGGGTTTCATATTTGAAGTCTTTACGTAACTTCCCTGAGCTATGTGCCTCGATAATCAGCTTTTGTTTAAAATCCAATAAGGAACTGTGTAATGAGATGTGGAAATTTGTCATAGATGAATGGTCTATTTCTTTGCATACATGTTTGGAAAACGATGAAGTTGATAATCTACTTCGTATTATAAACCCAGTTTGTCTGTATACAAATGCTTCGCTCCATATAGAATCTGGGAATGACTTATTAAAGAAAATTCTGTCTGTCGTTATGAAAAACTCAAATTCTGTTAAGGGAAATAAAGTAGACAAGCACTATGCAAGGTTGTGGGTCTTGTCAAGAATTCTAGTCCATTGTTCACCATCTTCAATAGTTTCATTGTCGGATGTAACTGATGTCGCGGACTACTTAGTATCTTGTTGTAGCAATTCTTTTTCCGATCCCATGACTTCTAGTATAGATGCCGCGTTTAACTTTTTTGAAGAAGTTTGTCTTCTCTACTGGAGCTCAAAACAGTCAGTAATTGATAAACTGATTTTTAAACTCTTTGGTTCACTTTTGACCACAGATAATCCAAGGATTTTTTCTACCTTCTCATTTCATTTTATTCACCTTATCGAAGAATTATCTTATAAATACAACTGTCTAGAGGTATATAGTACATTTTGGATTTGCCTTTTCAAACTACTGAACAAAGTAAATGATCAGATACTAAACCAATCTCCCATGTTTGATGTGTTTAATAATGAAGGATTACTGGATGTAGCTGTTGCAATTTTAAAAATTCTTAGTCGCGAAACATATATATTATTGTGGACAAGTGAATGTAAACTGTTATTTTCTGTGTTTGTTGATAGTCTCATGTCGAGACTTGGTGTCGGTAATTTTATAAACGATGCTTCCTTTCGTGGGCTTTCCCTTTCAACCTTCATTATCTTCATCGTCTGTGAGTATCATAATAATCACACAAGTCCCCATTCAAAGGATCACAATCGTTCACTTGAATGGGCTTATAGATCATATGATTATCTTGTAAATTTTGACCTAATGGAATTGACAGAATCAAAGTGTGTTTCCAAAACACTGTGGAATACCGTCAAATATCTTGAGAAAGTAAGTTTATTGACATCTTTTACTCTGCTTGCTTGTTGATACAGCACAATATTAAGTTATCCTCAGTTGGGTAGGGAGTTGATCAAGAGATTTTATTTAAAATACCAAAGCTTCAGTCCACATGACACTTCTGTTACGTCCATTTTTTTGGCGTTTTGTACATGTAACCACAGCGCAGATCATAGGGTTAGTTGAAAAAGTTGCTATGGATGCACAGTAAGCTTGTACAATTAATTTGGCATGTTTTTCTGCAACGCCCAAGTAATAATATTATATCTAATTCAGAATCTTGTAAACAGTATCACAGATTTGTAAAGCGATGGCCCATCATTTTGGTCGTCCGACTTTCAAATAACCGTTAACAGACGGAAAATTTAGCCCGCAGAGCAATATTTGTAACAATTAATTCATCAACTAAGTATAGACTCGTTTACTTGGTTTTGAACTACATCCATTATATTCAGGTTAGTGATACTACGCAGTTGGTCAAACCCAAGTGTGTGAATGAGGTTCAATTCAGCGAGATCACGCCTTAAACTTGAACCTCTTGATAACTAATCCACTGTTCCACAACAACATTTAATAGCGTAGTAGTTAGTTTCACTGGATCTTACATCGTATTTATAACTTTTAATTTAACACGAAAACTTATTGTATTTGCATATATATGTAACACTAGGATTGGTTATGTACTGCATTTTTTAGCGTCTTTAACATTCAGTTTTGCTATCTCGTCATATTGCTTTTGGAGATACCCATGCCCTTGACTTACGGAAGGCCGATTGTTATCAACTGTTAACCTATGTGCTCTGTATATACCTAAACATATATAATAGATTGACGCATTCAACATGTACTGAGGTATGAATCGTACTCTAGGTGTGAGGGCTAATGGTACCACAAAGTCGCCAAAACCGAAGTGGATAAGCGGAGTTCGAATGTGGGGTTGTGTCTGTAATTCTATGGTCTTAACCACTAAATCAGCACTCCGTATGCTTAAGCTTCCTGAGGCTTTGTTAGTTTTGATTTTATTACAGATCAAATTTTGTCTTTTTGTATTTCCTCGTGAAAGATTGGAATGATGTTCACAACGCATATTTCAACTGTTTCAGTTTCTTAGGGTTTCAGAATTTCGTCGATTAGTGTACTGCTCCCACTTGAACTTCCACAAATAATCTATTGTTGATTCGAAAACACGCAACTGTTCCTTAGGGAATAAAAAGTTAAATACCTCAAATCTTTTTACGTTGTTACTAAAAATCCGAAATTTAAGATGTAGTTTTCAAATGTACCATTAATACATAATCAATGTTCACTTTCTTGTCAAACGAAACTGGGCTCATAGGTTTAATGATTTTTTTGTTTCTGAAAATTTTACCACTTTCTATGTATAAAGATAATTCTCCTGATCTAGATAAAAAATAGGCATCGAATTATTTTATGCATCTTCATAAATACATATTTGCTACAGTTCTCTAGTCATGCACTGAATCAGTTAGTAGCTTCAGTAAACCACATCTGTTGTTCTACTATTTGTCCGATGAATATGGTAATTGAGCTACTTATGTTTTTTGTAAAGTTTAAAAACCTCCCAGGTTTTTAAAATGTTGAGGAGTGTTCGTAGAAAAAAATACATTAAAGTTCTTTTCAAATGAAGACTATGTGGACTGCAATGACGATTAAAAGCGAAGACGACGGACAACGTCTTGTGTTATTGAGAATATCAAATATCTTTAACCTTTTGGGTTTTTCAATCGCTGATTTACTGCCTGAATATCTGCTGACGAATTTGATTTGCGAGGATCGTTTGTTTATATAGTTGTAGCAAAGTAGGGGACGACGAGAAAGCCTGTGATTTTGATTGTTATGGACTTTCTAAGGTGTTTTGATTATTGGAAGGGAGGTTGAAACGAAGATATTACCAGTTATGAGAAGTATTTTTAGAGGAAAAAGAATATTATTGTGCCTTTGTTTCTTAGGCAAAGCTTACATGACGTCATAAGCAAAGATGGATAGTGGCTAGCAGTGGAATATAAGACGCACATTTCATCCTATTTTCGACTCGTCAGCCGGATATACCTGCATCCCAGTGAACATCAACTCTGGAATGTAGGCACATCCAGCTGGTGAGTCCCAAATAAGACGAAACACGCATCCTGGATTCCACTGCTAGCCACCATCCATCTTCACTTATAATGCTTGTCACTTAAGGCGATACGCGTAGTATGCACATATGCCAATAAGAGACTAATCATTTGCAGCCCTCAATATCAATGGGAGGATTCAACCAAACATTACCAAGTGAATTTACATAACGTCAGTTTATACATTTATTGGACAAATTATATTGCCAGTAAAACTCGGTTAGTTAAACGTTTTCAAACTATAAATTTGTGGCTTGTCATCAATAATGTATTGTATTGTAACATTGATATCTTCCATATTGTATAAATTCCCAATGTTTCACAATGTCTAATTTAATTTCTATTCAAGGAATCTGAAGAATATCCGATTGATCTATGGAAAAATATTCTTTCATCAATTACAATGAAATGGAAGACAGATCTTGGTGAAGAGTACTTTTTATCTATACAAGAGTTACCTCTGCTAAATTATTGTCCTAATTGTAAAGAGAATATTGAAGAATTATTAGATGATATAATTATTTCAAGTACCAGTAATGTGACCGCTGATTGTACAGAAGGTTAATTTTTCCCAAGCGGACAAATATTATCTTGGTGTATATCTCGAAAGCATATATATATATATATTAGTTCAATAGTAATATACTTGTTCTGTTATTTACTTAACGTAAAGAATTTCATGGTTTATAAAGATACTGAAATTGAGTGCGATTTGTTTTCACTAACTTGGGTTCTGGCATCAATATTAATCGTTCCTAACTGTTACAACTTACATTGTCATAATGTGTTTATGTGTCGGAGAGAAAATTAGCAAGTGAAAAGAAATGATAGTATCAACAGTGATATGAATTTAAGTATAGAGAAATATAGTGTAAAAAAAATAAATGAGATCGTAAGGTGACGAGATAAGGAAATGAGATTTAATGCAAAATAAATCACAGTGGCGCAGTTGGATTAATTCTCTATCTTCTTCTCTCTAAATTCTGAACTATGTAATCTGGTATCCGTAACAATAGGTTGGAACTGTTGTGTGAGTCTTAAACTAGGTGTGTGTTAAAGTGATTTAGTTTGGTGATGTGTTGTATTTCATTTTACTCAATTATTCGTTTTAATCTGGCTACCGATTTTTCAAGTAGGCAAAGATAAGAATATGTTACGATGCAAAGTGCTAACAATGTATATGACAGTGCAAAAAATAGTAAACAGCAAACCCAATTCATTTTATGAAGTTATATAATAATAATATTAAAGCAGGTTTAAATATGGATAAATATGTCCAAACCCAAATCTGCCCACTGAATCGTTGACTGTTGAACTTAAGAGTTGAAAGGTACAGATTTATTGCTTCCAAAGTTTGAGTGATATAGATCAAGATTAATCCCAGTAGTAAATATGTACTCTTTCCTTGCTTGACTACTGATTTTAGATTTCAATATCACTTCATAAATCTACCTACTGATTTTATTTTTACCTTTCAAGCTATAATTTATACGCTTAGTGTCTTGCCACCACTAATGTTGTAACATCTCTGGACGATGTGGATTTTTGCCATCCTACATCTAAACTTGAGTGAGTGGTGAAATTAAGTGAGTAAAATACTGAATAGATGGAGGCATTGAGTCTATTGGTTATTCTCACAACAGATGTACTTGTTGATCTCCATAGAAAATGGCGTGCACTAATATTTAAACTACTGACCATATGTTTGTTGTTTCAGTCAGTCAGTAACAACGTAGAACTTCGTACGTATGTACATCAGTTCGAGTTGACATACCACATTAGCACAGAAATACGATTGTCGATTCAAATCCCATAATGGTAGAGGTAGTAAAAGTATAAACATTAATCGGAAAGATTAGGCTGTGAAGATATTATTCAAGGAGTATAATCCAATGAAATAAGTTTGAAAAGAGAAAAGGGATACGGAGAATTCAGAAGATTAGAATTTGGGAGAACACAAAAATTGGATGCACTTGCGTCATTGTAAACGATTTTGAGCCACATCATGCAATGTCTCTAACCATCGGTTGCTATTATCTCGCGGATCCCAACCAGGTAGTATACACCTACCAACATGGCTCAGTTCACTTGTCAGTGACTTCATGGATTTGTGTCATGTTTTGGTCTGGCCGCCACTAGCTTTCTTCCAATCTACTCCTACACCATAAGACATCACACGTCGGTACAATCGGTGGTTGGGCATACGTAACACATATCCCAGCCATGTTTGTTGTTTAATTTAAGGTGAAAAAATCAAAGACCTCTATTTAGTTAAATTGAACGGACTCTTTTTAAACAGTGGAATATCAGTTAAAAGAGACAAAAAACGTAAATCATTAGGAAGATGCTGATGGTTTTATCATCCAAACTTTTCAGACCTTTCCAATTGTTTTATTGAGTTATAACTTTGCAGACATTGTATAGATTTTACTATCTCGCTTGAAAATCGAGTAACGTTTAAACTCATCCAAGAGGTACACATTGATAGTTGATAAAGTGATCAGCTTACAAAGGTAGAATGCAAATAGTTTGATGGAATAAGATTATGATATATCCATGTTTTTTTTTCAATTAGAAAGATGTAAATCCCAAACAAACAGGGGAATAGATAATCTTTAAGTGAAGTTTTCCTAAATGGAGAAGATGAAACACTGATTAACAATTCACAATAGGGAAGTTGTTTGGAATACTAATATTATATAGGAGAAGATTAAAGTATTTTCAAATTGGAAACTAGTTTTTTTGTCTATTTCTTTATCATTCAAGTTTCCACTTCATAATTTTTTCAAGTAGGATGTTTTTGCGGGACCCCAAGCAACCAATAAAGGGGAAATAAAGCAGACGACAGCGTACATAAATGTCGCTTTTTCCCCCTTACGTTGTGTATTTGGGGGAAATTTGTCGACAATTAGACGTTACGTACAGTGTTTGAATAAACCGCATCCACAACTTAAGTTTTCATAAACTTAGACAAATTAAGGCACAAAACTATTGTCATAAAAGAAAGTTACAAAGTGCGGAACCAGGCATTCGGTTTAGACGCAAATACACTGACTTCGTTTTTTGTTTAGCTAAAGGGTTCCGACATGCTTGGGAGCCATCACAAACAACTTACATGATGCAGATGAGTGACGTACTCTCAGATTTTCATGTTCATTATAACTGATTACCTTGTTAGGCTAATAATATGAGTTTCATTGGAGTTAGTGAGAATGTTCGTAGACGCAGGGCTACTGTGAACTTGTCACGTTCCCTTGGTTATCATAGAACCACTTATAACAGGGGGTGGAATAAAATGCGATAGGTGTACTGTACTTGGGAGGCGGCTGGAGGGGAAGACGACCTTTCCAAATGGGGTATATACTTTAAGAACAGACGACATCTTCCGTCGTCAGACCCAATCTATTCACCATCAAGGACATTCTATTATGGAAACGCTTCCTATTAATATTATAACTTTTCCTTTAGATCCTATGCACATGGTGTACCTTTGTATTACAAAAAAATTAGCTAATTTATGGATGTACATCCAACCGTTGTCCAAGGGCATTAGATAAATAATCCAAAATGTATCCGACATCGAATAGTTCCTTAAAGGGTGAACTTATATTCTTCTCTTCTAATAAAACATACTGGTAGGCACTCTTTGTTTAATGGGCATCTTAGTTATAAATGAGTGGATTGGTAAACTAGTAGGGACGGATTTAAAATGAACAGCACACGAATTGACATAAAATAGAATTAATTCCACCTAGTACCTTATATCTTATGGATCTAGAAGAATGTTAAAAGATAGCAGATTTCACTGTAACTACAGAGAATTATAATTCATTAATATATGCTTTAAATTAGGTTTGATAAGTGAGTGGATCGTGTACACTAGTTGGTCCAACAGTAGGATGGATTGTCCATTCAAATTACTCAAACCACTTAGCAGCATTAATCATGATGTGAAGCGGGAAATGTTTTTTTATCTTATTAGTCAACAACTCAAGATGCTGGTTACGACTGTATCCATTTAATGTGAATACAATAAAGTACGATTTACTGTTAATCAAACATCAATGTCATAATCTTGTTAAAAATAATGGTACATATGTGAAAAAATGTTATTTAGATGAAGTTTTGTTCTCTGAGCTGGTTGGTTTGGTCAGTCAGTCAGCTACAACGTAAGACCAGGCACATATATGCATCGGTCCAAGTTGCCATACCTCATTAACACAACAAAATGAACACCGGATTCATAAAAGTAGATAATTCAGTGGTGGTAATATATAAAAGAAAGATTGCATATAAGGATATAGTACAAGAAGAAAGTTCGTAGAAAGAAAGATATGAAGCGACTGTGTATACACCGACACCATTGTGATCGATTCTGAGCCATGTCACCACGAGTCTCCAACCGTTGGTTACGATAGTCACGCAGACCCCAACCAAGTAGTCTGCATCTCCCAACATGGCTCAGACTAGAAGTTAGTGACTTCAAGCACTGATGCCAAGTTTTGGTTTGGCCGCCCCTAACTTTCTTCCAACTGTCTTCAATACCGGTTTGCATTGCACGTCGTGGTAGTCGGTGTTCAGGCATACGTAACACGTGGCTCAACCATTTCAGTCGATGAAGATTCAAAACCTCATCAACTGATTTACCGTCATCATTCCCTAATACCCTGTGTCTAACCTCACTTTTACTTACCCGGTGATCCCAGCAGACGCCAGCAATATTTCTAAGGCATCTGTGGTCATGGAACTTTCATAAGTTTCTAAAGTATTGTGATATGTCAAATCTTCAGTTGTACTTATAGGTGTGGATTGGTGCAGGAATATATTAATTAGTGTAAATTATTTATTTGAAGTTAGATTACATTTATTACTTATGTAACAGTATGATGATCAGCTTTCTAGCTATATATTAACTCACAAGGAATAGCTTACGAGTTAGTGTCCAGTTTTTAGCTTATTTTTCTGGATCACATGTTATTCTTCGTTTAACGGTAATAGTGATTTATCAATAAACGTTTACCCAGTATTTATTTTCGTCTTCTTTGTAGTCTAATGGGGACGTATAAGGATAATCTTAGCGGGTAAGTGTTTGTAAAAATTAGAAAAAACTAAGTGTTTGCTTCATAAGCACTCGTTTCGTTATAAAAAATTATATTACTGCATGAACTTAGAATTTTCGCTAAAACGTCCCGTTTCTTCACTATGGTAGTGTGGTAGGCGTCGAGTCGCGGTTGAATATGATCAACACTACAGGAAAACTATGTGTCGGTTACGGGTTAGACCCATCCGTGGGCCAAATATCAGAAGGCAGCTGAAGGTTGTAGTTAAGATATATTTGTTGGAAATCTCGTGGTATCGAAATAATACCGAGATAGTGTCAAAATCTACAAGCAAGACGAGAGTTCGTGCAAGGTCACAAAAAACAGAAGAGAGTGTTTTTTGGTACACTTAAACAAATAGGTACAGTAAAACAATCACTGGTACAGTTGGTTATAATAATAATTGTTTTCATTATACCAGTTGCGTTCTCTTCATAAAAGTAGGTCACCACAATAGTATATTCTG